GGTTGTTGGAGAAGCTGATGGCTCACGGTGTCACGGACCCTCTACTAGCACGGACTGAGGATTTCCTCATCCGAAGGACGTTTAATGTCAGAGTTGCCCAGACGCAGCTGTCTTCTTCTGGGGACTTCCAATGAACTCGTCGGAATGCGCTCATATGCGCCTGGGAGAGGAATACACCGGATATTCCCTATCTGATGAACAACGTCCCACTGTGTTTGNCTCTGCATCCATGAAGACACAGATGAACACCGACCTAGCATGTTCTACGGCAAGGAGTATGCTCGGTGTCATCCGTCGGTCGTTTGACGGCTTGTCGTTCACAGCCTTTAAAAAGCTGTTTGCCTCCCACGTTCGCCCCCGGCTTGAATACGGTGGACCCACTGTATACCTCTGCACGCTTTCCGAAATGGCCAACTTGGAACGGGTACAGCGCTACGCCACCCGCCTAGTCGCGGGACTTCACGGGATCAACTATGAAGGTCGGCTCCGGGCACTCGAACCCTACCCCGTTAGCTACAGGAGACTCCGCGGGGATTTGATCTATCTGTGGAAGATTCTACGTGGCGATCTGGGACCGGAGTTATGTGCTGTTTCCATTGCGAGATTGCAACCGGACGCGCAGCCACAGGCTCACCTTCCGGAAGCTTGAATCAAGGGGGCTTCCTCTGGTCTATCGCCTTTCCCGGAGGGCGACTTCCCTCTTGAATTCACTCCCGTCGGAGGTGGTGGAGGAGCAGAACGAGGCGCGTTTCAAACGCCGTCTCGACGAGCAATTGGTGAGACGATGGCAGCTTTCAGACCACTGAGCGGGTTGCTATCGGTACCGGCGGCGAAGAGGCTCATACGGGGCGTGGCCCCTCTGCCTTCTCAGCACTGAAACTGAAGGGTATTTGTGTGTCATATCTAATTCATTTACTCGTAGATAATTTGCATGATATGCGGACTGAGATGACGCAGTTAGGCGTCAGCTTGGATCTGTGGTACAAAAAAATGGACCAACTTTTGATTACACAAACGCCAAAAGTCCAAACATTTGGTCATGCAATACGAAGCCAATGCAGAGCGGTTCAAGAATTAAACGATCTTGAAACGAAACTACAAGAGAAATCCAACTATGACAATTTGGTAAGTATTGGATTTCGATTATATTTGGTTTATCTAGGTCCAATAATTCCTTCACCTGGGTGGCAAAGACCCTACGCACGCCATAAAACGTACAATGGCTCTCGTCTTTCACGAGACTCTGGCTGTTGAGGTCAATCATCTGGGGAAAAACGCAAATCAAAGAGCATCTGGACTTAACTGTATGCAGGCTCTATTCGGTAAAAACAATGTTCTAATTCATGTTCAGTTCTTAAGATGCAGTTATGAGCTGCAACAAATTCCCTGGAGTGACAAGCCACGTCGTGGAGATCAAAATAAAACGATGTTTGAAAAATACCACAGACAATTTCTCTCCGGAAACATCGTGAAGACACCAGTTGTGTCACATATTCGAATATACATTATTTCTTAAACCTATGCCTTTTATTTAAAGTATACATAAGTCACGCGAATGAATTCATTCCCGTGACTTATGTATACTTATACGTTAAGTTAAGGTCAGTGGGGAAATGTGGTACATGGTGCGTTCTACATTGGAAAGGTGAAAAAACGAGAACTGGCCAATTCTCAGTCTTCAGTCTCGTTCAATTTTTATTACCCGCGGGTATTCAAAATATTTTGAATGCTCGCTACATATGTAGCTTGTGGTAGCGAGCGAATATCCAGCTATTCGTTGACGAGTAAGCTACATGGGCGTTAAAAAACGTCGCTGCAGCTAATTGCAGCTGGTGAGTAGCGCGCTATTCGCCGATTATATAATCAGCGAATAGCAGCGCAAGTAGAACATATATATGTGCTACTTGGGGCATGCTCTTGGGTACTCTTCTGTAAGACTCCTCTCTGATGATACACTTATCGAATGAATCTACCATTTCAAAGCACATTTTGCATGCAGAAATATAACGTGCCTCGAGGCACGTTATCCCATGGGATAAATAGCCGGGATTCAGGGGACAAGTGAGCGGCAGTAACTTTTACATCCAAAATAGGGGCCTATCAAGAAAAAGGAATAAAATGTTTTCCAGCACTGTTTTGCGTGAAT